GTTCTCAGTGACCCAGAATTAGTAAAGTTTGACTACATTTATTTCAGGAGCATTTTGGCTGTAGAGCAGTGTTATTAATGTTTCTAGTCTTAATTTGACATCCTCCAATTTTTTTCTGAATTTTGTATACACTGCTAGCCTTTTAAAGTAGGAAGGGAAGAAAAAAATGGAAACTTCATCAAAAGCTCCAGAGGGAGATGGCCTGGAGCAACTTTGTCCTCACTTCATCAAAACGACAGAACGTCTCTGTTTTAAACACTGCAGTAAGCGCTCTGTAGAGTTTCAGGTCAGAGGGATGAGAGTATTGAGCTGGGCAGCTTCTACTGTATTCTACAGTATATTTTAGGAAATCCATGCTACATTCAGGAGATTTTCCACTGGAAGTTATGATTGCTCATCACAGCATTAACGTCATATGCTCAGCTGATATCCTTCTTGGAGATGGAGGAGGTACAAAGACTCCTTGAAGATTGCCGAGATAATGACAGTAGTGCTCTTGTGTGAGCCATGTTGCCAGTAGGAAGAGGGAAACCCCATGGAGGGGCTGGCACTTTGCATGGGTGGTCTCAAATCTGCTTATTTCCTTGAAAATTTGGGAGAATCAGAACATGTACATGGCCCTTGCGGGGGTTGCCCTTAGGGGGAATGATGTATCAGAAAGTCCAGGTTAAGTTTTCCCTCCCATTGACTTTTTCACATGATTGGCTGATAGGCCTGCATCCTCATTGTTGAATAAAATGCTACATGAATTTCATTTTAGTATTTTTCTTCCAGTGTATAATTTTAGGGGTTTTAAGATAGGACTGACAAATGTAAACTTCTCATCATGTATCTATATTTGTATTGGATTGTACTGAGTTATGAAATCAGCTGAGTGCCAAGCACACTTAGCTGAGAAGGAACCCAGTGATCTGCATAAAAAGAGTCAGTCAGTCATGCTAGAGCCAAATTTTGAATTATGATCTCATAAGTGAACGGATTTGATTCCCAATAACTTTCTTGCAATGTCAAGCTTCATATGTTAACATTGCAACAATTACAACAATTAGAAGCTTCTTATTGATTAAAATCTCTTGTTCACATTTAATACCTTTTATATGTGGGTTACAAAATGCACTACAGACTACTTGATATAAATACGTGGAAATAACACTACTAGCAGTGAAATCTAGTAGGTTGAGATAACAACTTATGAAGCGAAAACTGTGACTGTGATGTGGTGGTATGCATAGCATATACTGCCAACTCTCCTAATAAGGGGAGTTGAATTTGTCCTGAACACTACAAGGGAAAAAAAAGACAAGCCATCAAGAGTATGGTTTAATTAGGCAGCAATTTTATTAAGCAACACATCTGGCAACTATCTGCCAATAATTCATACAGTGCAGGTCATCCTATTGTAATATGTTCCGCCTGGTTTCAGCACCATTTCTGAGATCCCACCACCCTGCCTCATCAGAGTGGTAATGGATGGGGAAGAGAAGGTTGTCTTTCCATTATATCAATCATTAGGGGCTCCAACCCCATTCTCACCTTCTTCAGGAGATGTCA